ACTAACCCCCATAATGGCTGCAGGTGGAGGCTCACCTGCTATGCCAAGATGCTAGCCCATGAAAGCATTTTTTTAAAGATTTCTTTTCTTTTAATTTCTTTTTCTTTTAAAGATTTATTTATTTTTATTGGAAAGGCACATATACGGAGAGCAGGAGAGACAGCAAGGAGGTAAGAGAGAGGAAGATCTTCTGTCCGCTGATTCATTCCCTAAGTGACTGCAACAGCCAGAGCTGAGCTGATCTAGAGCCAGGAGCCAGGAGCCTCTTCCGGGTCTCCCATGAGGGTGCAGGGTCCCAAGGTTTCAGGCCATCCTCAACTGCTTTCCTAGGCCACAAACAGGAAGCTCGATGGGCAGGGGGGCCACCGGGACATTAACTGGTGCTCATATGGGATCCTGACATATGCAAGGCAAGGACTTTAGCCACTAGGCTATCGCACCAGGCTCAAGATTGATTTATTTTTCATTGGAATGGCATATTTACAAAAAGAAGGAGAAACAAAGAAGAATGTTTCATCTGCTGGTTCAGTCTCCAAGCTACTGCAATTGCTGGAGCTGAGCTGATCCAAAGCCAGGTACCAGAAGCAGCCGGGACATGAACCAGTGCCCATATGGGATGCTGGCACTTGGAGTGGAGCATTAGCTACTTGAACCATTGTGCCTGTCCCCAAAACTATTATTAAGGTGATCCTGACAGTTGGTCTTGGGACTTGAGGTATTTTGATCCTGGGATCTCAAGAATGAATAAACAAAGGAAATGATCGATATTCAAGCACTACATATACGTTGTCGTTGAGAAGACACACGGTTTTCGGAGGACACAGCCTTGCTTTAGGCTTCTTCAGCAGCCCCCTAAGCCAGACATGCCAACCTGGCCCAGCCAACAGGTGGCACTGCTTGCCCTCCACCCAACCCAGGCAAACCAGTTCCTTAGTCCCTATAGCATCCTCCCTGGTCCCATCTGCAACACACCCTTCGATTTGTCATCCTTCCCTGTTGGCAGGCCACCTGTATATTGTCGTAGGAAGTGGCCCTGGTTCCCCCCACCTCCTCCAGCCCAGCAGGAATCTCAGTGGGAGTTGCCTGATGAACCAGGGCTGGGGCAACGAAGGAATGCAACGTGCTATGGCCTCAAACTTTTATTGTTTTTTCCACATGGAGGTCTTAACATTGCGTTCCAGTCTCTGGCTCTTCCCCAGCTCTGATTTCTGCGCCCTTCCCACTCTTTATCCCCGTTCCCCCAGACCATGACCCCGGTGGCAACATCACTCCCCCAGAGCAACTTCAGATCTGGCCTTGGGCTTTCTTGAGATGTTAGTCTTCTTACGCCAGGCCACTCCTCACACTTGAGCAGGAAAACTCAGCACCAAACGAGCTTTTCCAAATCTCACTCTTTTCCAAATCTCACTCCGTGCCTAGACCCTCCTGGAGCCAAGGCTGTTTAGCTTTTGCGTTCCCACTTCCTCCAGCAGTCAGCTTTCCCTCCGTCACCTTGGTCACCCGGCACTGTTTACGGAGCATTGTGCAGCTGGGGCCATCTGTGTGCCTAAGCAGCTGCCAAGTGGATTTTAGCCAAACCCCTTAACCTGCCATTCAAGGCTCTTGGCTGGCTGGCTTGTTTCCCTTCCTGTCCTTATCTGCCAGCCTTCCCCTTCTGTGTGTACTTTCACATCAAATGTCCCCTTCTTTTCTTTGCATATTTACTGCCCCATGCCCACAGCCATTTGTCAGGCTCCTTCCTCTCCCCACAATGCTAACTCAGCACCACCGCCACCACCCCACGCATACACACACTGTCACCCTGCTTCTGTTAGACTCGCTCTTTCCTTCCAGTGACCATGCTGGTCTGCAGCAAGACTTGGTGCAGGACTGCCTTTCCTGCCTGTCAGGAGTGGAGGCTCCAAATTCCCCTGCATTACCAACCCTGGCATCCCTTGAATCCCCTCCACCTCTTCCTTTGCACTGGAAGGTCCTGAAGGCAGTTCCTCACCTTTCATGCCCTGCCCGCAACCTTCTGGGGCAATCCCTCTTTACCCCTGGTATAAATATGGCTCCCAGGATGCCTTTAACTCAAGAAACAGGGTCCAATGTTGTGGGTACTAAAGGGCCATGCACCAGGACCCCTGAACTCTAGCTCGGATTCTGCAGACCCCTGAAAGGAGAATGACACTTCGTACCATAGCACTTCCCCAGCCAATAGTTGCTAAGCAAAGTCACAGGAGCTGGCAGCTGGTGGGTGGCCAGGGCATCTCCTGCAAGAGCAGTGCACAGGTACCATGGGGGCTCTGTGCCCTCTGATGTCTGCTGAGTGGGGGGTTGGAGTTCCCTCGCTCAGCCAGCTTGGAAACAAAGCATAAGCAACCCAGAAGCTTGTGGAGGGAGGTAGCCACTGAAAGGGGAAGAAGTACGAATGTGTCCCCATGTGTGCAGCTTGTCAGGGGCTGCTTTAACAACGCCACTGCTGTTGTGTTGCTTGAGCTTTCCCATTTGCCTGAACATTCTTGCTCTCCCTGACTGCGTTTGAGTGGAAAGAGAGTTGCCTGTTGACTAAGCTGTATGACCTTGGAACAGGTTACTTAACACTCAGGTCTCAATTATCTGGACTGTAAATTGAGGACAGCAGCACTTCCCTCGCCACTCCTGTCAGGACTGCCTAGTATGAGGCATGGAGCTTGTCTGGCTCAGATCCTAGCAGTCCCTCGCTCTGAATAGTGCAGCCTTCTGCGTGGCTCTGGCCCACGTATAAATTACCAGCATTGTGGGTTGATGGGCAGGGCCGGGGAAAGGGATAATTACAGAAACCTTATAGCCCAAGATTCCAAGCAAGACAGCCATAGTTTCAAAGAGACTCTCCTGTTGGGCTGTAAGTCAATAAGCCCTTGTTGTTTCTGACTGGGAAAACATGACTGTCTTGGAAGGTACCAACAGCATCTGCTTATGTCTGAGAAGTGTCTGGTCTTGCATACTGTCAGCTGAAGGTGAAAGATTAGGCAAGCCACAGATAGGTGTTCGGTGATAGCTCAGGGTAGCTGGCAGACAGGAGACCTGCTGTCCCCTGCTACACAAGGGAAGAGCAAGTGGAATCCTGGTTTGGCTATAGGTTGGGGGAATGCGTAAGGTCCCAGACCACACTCTGTATCAGTAAAATCAGCCTTTTGCAAGCTTCCCCGGGTAAATGACAACACACAGCAGCAGTTCAGAGCACAGGGTCTGCCCCAGGGTTTTTCAGCCTTGCCAGATGACCACAATCACCTCTATTAGTTTAAAAATGATTTCTCAGGATCTGAGAGTAATACCATCACTGGAATGTATTTGATTCTAAAAAACAACATATATAAAAATACATCTGACATTTTGACATCTCTGAAAGCAAGTGATCTTCCGATTTGGTGGCATCTAAAACTTGATAAATCACAGCCACAAGCATCCCCAGTGAGTTTTGGGATTGGGGAATAGTTCCCTTGGACCTCCCAATACAAGTTGTCTGAGATCTTGTTAAAATACAAGCTTGGTAGGCCCCAGCTAACAGCCAAGTGGCTAAAGTCCTCGCCTTGTATGTGCTGGGATCCCATATGGGTGCCAGTTCATGTTCCGGCTGCTCTAATTCCCATCCAGCTCCCTACTTGTGGCCTAGGAAAGCAGTAGGATGGTCCAAAGCCTTAGGACCCTGCACCCTTGTGGGAGACCTGGAAGAAGCTCCTGGCTTCTGACTTGGCTGATTGACTCAGCTCCAGCTGTTGTGGCCACCTGGGGAGTAAACCAGTGGATGAAAGATCTTTCTGTCTCTCCTTTTCTTTGGAAATCTGACTTTCCAATAATAATAATAATAATAATAATAATAATAATAATAATAAAGTAAAATGCAAACTCGGAATTGGATATTCTGGATAATCTGATGTTGTTGATCCTGGCACATATTTTGGATAATGAAATCCTCAAGTGTCTCCATCCAAGGAGGTCCAGCCACAAGGCTTATTTAAGTCAACAAAAATAACCAACCCAGACAAATACATTCAAAGGTGTCTCCAATGTCTGGCAAACTGCTAGCTGACATGCTTGTCTTCTCTCACAGGAGTGGACACCTGGGAGTGGGGGAGAAGTTGAGGAGTCTCAGGCCAATTTCCTAAGGATGCAAGTTAGTGTGCGAGACAACACAGCCTCTGCACTCAATGCCAGCCAAGTTCCCTTCCCAAGTGAGCAGGGCCTCAGGTGGCTTTGGTGGGTGCAGGGGAAGCAGCTCCCATTCATCCTGCCACCCCAAATCTTTACTGAAGATCCACTGACAAACTGCAAGTTCTGAGGGATCCCCAAGTTGGATCAACTAGGTCCCTGACATCCAGGGGAGGACCCAATAGTGTGAAATCTACATCAATCAGAGTAACACAGGGAGTGCTAAGTGCCAATAAGAAATGCGCCAACACAGAGAACAATGCTAATACCATCCTGGAATAGGGCACTATCCCAAACAAAAATAGCTTGTCAGAGCTGGCCTGCTATGATCAACAAGTACACACTGACATCTCAGAACCCTAGAAACCAAGATCTTTTCATTAGCAGAAGCTCCATAGGGGAACCCCTTCTACATGTGTGCCCCTGATCTCCAGTTCTAAAATGCAGAAACCAAGAGACTTTCAGGGAAAGAGACCCTCCAAGGGATGGAGGGAGGCATGATTTTATTCCAAAAAGTGCTGGGGTCTGCATATTCTCTCTTCGACCATGTTATACCAGCAGATCACCTTCCTGGTTACAGAAATGCTGGTGTCTCTGCCCTTTGTCATATTGACAAAGCTCTTAATTGGCTTGACCCACCACACTGCTAGCTATAAAGATTACAATCCCTGGACTAAGAAGTAGGTCTCCAGTTGGGGTAGGAAGTCTCCAACTGAGGGAAGGCAGATACAAGCAGCTGCTCTCTAAGCCCCACATGGGCCAGCTTTTTAGGGAGCTGAAGAACAATACTTGATTCCAATTTCCTTCATTTTCACCATTTTCCATTACAGGAAGCCTTCCAGGGGAAGATTAAGAGCCCAAGGAAGGGACAGGAGAAATGGGGAGTGGAGCCAGCGCTGAGGACAAAGAATTGGCCAAGAGGTCCAAGGAGCTGGAGAAGAAACTGCAGGAGGATGCTGACAAGGAGGCCAAGACCGTCAAACTGCTGTTGCTGGGTGAGCACAGTGGGAAGAGGAGCTGCCATGGGACAAGGCTCTGGGCCTTCCTGCTCTCTTGGAGGGATGAGGCAGGGGGAGGGACAGGTCTCAGGCTAAGAAAGTGGGAGCTGTAGGGTTGAGTTCCTATGGAACCTGCAAGGCATCCTCAAAGTGGGTCAGGAGAGAGCAGGGCCATATCTTACCAATGGATCCAGGGGTCCCACTATGCAATCCCACTGCACACTCCTAGGAATGGGCCTACTGGTTCTTGCCAAGTATATGGTTCCTTTTCCCTTGCTTTCAGTAGTAAAAACAAAATTTGAAGTAGGGAGCCCCAAGGGAAGAGGAAGGGCAGGTTTTATCTACAGCATTTTCCTCCTGACTCTATCTATCAATAGTTGCTTCCATAAAGCACCTAGCAGATGGGAGCTGCATCCGCTTGCTGAGCTCCTAAGCAGATCACGGGTCTATACTGAGGAAATAGCATCACTTCAATAGGCCAGTCCGGGAAATTGATCATGGCTGTGAAGAGAATTGGGATGACAAAGTTTGGGATACTTTGCTTAGAACAAAAGCAAAAAAGGTACTGAAGGTGGCCAGAGTAGGTGGGGACTACGCAGCAAAACTGGTGGTCTGGGCTGCGTTCCCAAGCCTGTGAGTAGCCTGGGCACTAGAGCTGCAGGCGAAGGTGCCTCCTCTTCCCCTGGCTGATCTGTGGCACAGCCTTGAGTATCCACTGGATGATCGATGGGTTGATTGATATCCCTGGAAGTTGGACCAGGACTTCAAGCAGCTTGAGGATACCTGGGAGAAACAGAGCTGGCAGGGTTATTGAGAGATTTTTTTTAAGCCTAAGCTGATTTCTTCCAGGATCCGGATAAGCAGCTGGAGGAATAAGCACAGGCTAAGAAGGAGGAGGGGGAAGCCAAGGGATCAAGGTAGCACAAGACAGAGGGAGGGGCTTGAAGGCAATGTATATTCTTGATGGGAGGAAGCAGAGTGTGAATGAGGCTCCTAGGATGTATTATTATTACTATTATCAAAGATTTATTTATTTTTATTGGAAAATCAGGTATACAGAGAGGAAGAGAGACAGAGAGGAAGATATTCTGTCCGCAACAGCCCGAGCTGTGCTGATCTGAAGCCAGGAGCCAGGAACTTCTGGGTTTCCCACATGGATGCAGGTTTATAAGGCCTTGGGCTGTCTTTGGCTGCTTTCCCAGGCCACAAGCAGGGAGCTGGATGGGAAACAGGGCTGCCAGGATTAGAACCAGGGCCCATATGAGATCCAGCGTGTTCAAGGCGAGGACTTTAGCTGCCACGTCACCACACCAGGCCCACTAGGACATCTTTGAGAAAGAGAACCAAGATAGTGCTTCAGTCATGTGGCATAGCCCTCTCCAGTCCTGCCCCAAGATCTGTGAGAAGCAGGCAGAGAGGGGAAACACATTACAGAATCCCCCCAAACCTACCAGAATTTCTCAACTGGGAGACTTCTGATCTCCATTGGGCAGTATGGAACTATCTGGAAACATTTTGGGTTGTCATAAGAAAAGAATTGGGTCTTTCTTGTGGGTAAAGGCCAGGAGCTCTGCTAAACATTCTACAATGTCCATGACAGCTCCTCACAAGATGGAATTGCCTAGCCCCAGATACAGACGGTACTTCATTTAAAAAACTGCTGGAAGTCCAAGGCTACCAGAATGGCAGGGCAGCAGTCGCTTCTGGGTTCTGCTCTAATGAGATTCCCAAGCATGCTTACTTGCTTGGCACCTCTGACTTCTCACAGACCCTCCACTACCATGTTGGTGGGAGGAGGAATGGGTACACTTTGCAAACATGAGCATTTTCTCCTCCAGGTGCTGGCGAGTCAGGAAAGAGCACCATCGTCAAACAGATGAAGTGAGTAGGAAAAACAGGACTCGGGAAGTGGGAAAAAGTCTGGGGAGATCCTCAAAGGGAAAGGGTGATGTACAGGACCCAGCTCCCGGAGCTGCTCCCCTCCCCCGCCCCGGAACAGCAGTACAGCAGTAGGAACAGAGATTCCAGACCCCTTAAGGTCCAACTGAAGGCTGGATCCCTGCCCTCCACCCCTACCCCCGGGCAGGATCATTCACCAGGACGGCTACTCACCAGAAGAATGCCTGGAATTCAAGGTTATCATCTATGGGAATGTGTTGCAGTCCATCCTGGCTATCATCCGGGCTATGTCCACACTGGGCATCGACTATGCTGAACCGAGCTGTGCGGTACGTGATTCATGTTACACAGCTAAGACTAATGAGAAACAGGTAAGAGACCAAGAGACTCCTAGCAAAGATAGGTGAGCAAAAGTTTTGTGTCCCTAAAATCCCATCTGATGACTTTAGATTATTTTACTTAGTCCTAGAGAAGAAAACAAGTTTTACCTTTTATTTTTTTAATATCCATTTAAAAATTTTTATTGGAACATCAGATTTACAGACATAGGAGAGACAACGATTTTCCTCCTGCTGGTTCATTCCCCAAGTGGCTATGACAGTTGGAGCTGAGCCAATCTGAAGCCAGGAGTCAGGAGCTTCTTCCAGATCTCCCATGCAGGTGCAGGTCCCTTTGGGATGTCCTCTACTGCTTTTCCAGGCCACAAGCAGGGAATAGGAAGTGGAACAGCCGGGACATGAATTGGCACCCATATCAGATCCCAGCACATGCAAGGCAAGGATTTAGCCACTCAGCTATCACGCTGGGCTCAAGCTTTACTTTTTAAATAAAGGTTTGCTGCCAGCTTCTTCTTTTTTTCTTTTTTTCTTCTTCTTCTTCTTCTTCTTTTTTTTTTTTTACCATTTAAATTGCTCCTTTGGCTCCTTGCCCCAGCCATGGAACTTCTGTAGACTAAATAAGTTCCTAGTTCCAGCACTGGCCTTTTTTCCCTACATCTGAATCCTTCACAAAACAAAGGTGAGAGTTTTCTTAGTCCTGCTATAGTGAGTCAGATATACTGGCCACCAACTCCAGCTGGAGCACACACAGAATCCTTCCATGCAATTTCTTAAGCTCTTCACCGGCAGTGGTCACCACTCAGGCTTTGGCAGCAAGCCAAAATGCTCCCATTCAGCAGTCTCCTGGAAGGCCATTTCTCCTGCACAGCTTCTCAGCCAGGTTTCTGCATTACAGGATCACGGGCGACAGCTCAACAATCTGGCCGACTCCATCGAGGAGGGGACCATGCCGCCTGAGCTGGTGGAGGTCATCAAGAAACTGTGGAAGGATGGCGGGGTGCAGGCCTGCTTTGACAGGGCTGCGGAATACCAGCTCAATGACTCGGCATCTTAGTAAGCCTCTGAGATAGCAAGAGGGTGGGAAAATGCCTGAGCGATCTGCTAAGGTTCACACAGCACAGGACTTCCACATGGGGAGCTGGAGATGCATGATGGGTTGAAGCTGGACTGTCAATCTGTTCCGTTAGGCTTACGTAGCTGTGATCTACAGAAGTTAATGCCACAGGGATCTCTACCACAGCTCCCAACAGTCTACCAACCAGAAGACAGGAAATCCAAGAGGCTACTCCCAGCAGCCCTTTGTCCCCATTAAGTTGTTCATTTTCCTGAGCCACAGGGCATCCCTGTAGTCTGGCCTTACACTCCACTGGGAGGTAAGCTTCCTGAAGGCCCCTTCAGGACAGACACCTCTGGCTCTAACCTGAGCCTCCTCAGGTGACTAAGCAGAAACAGTGTCTCCTTCACCCACAGCATCTGATGATAGGATGCTAGTGCAGAACAAGGGAAAATGGTCAAGGATTAGAGTACACTTTTTTTTTTTAAGATTAATTTATTTTTACGGGAAAGATAGATCTACAGAGAAGGAGAGAGAGAGAGTAAATCCTCCGTCCAATGATTAACTCCCCAAATGGCTGCATTGGCCAGAGCTGAGCCAATCCAGAGACAGGAGCAAGGATGTCTTCTAAGTCTCCCATGTGAGTACAGGGTCCCAAGGCTTTGAGCCATCTTCCATTGCTTTCCCAAGCCACAGGCAGGGGGCTGGATGGGAAATGGAGCCGGTGGGATATGAAATTCTGGCAGTTAAAGAAGGATTAGCCAGTCAAACCATTGCACTGGCCCACAGAGCACATTTCTATTGGTCCTGTTTCACAGAAGAATTGAGTCTGGGAGGAGTTCACTAAGTTGCTCAGGGCCATATGCATAAATTATGGAGGCTGCATTGTGTCCAGGTCTGTTGGATTTTTCTTTTCCCCACGATGCATCAGAGTGCTTAGGACTGCGAGCAACTCATTTGACTCTTCTCTAAGTTGTCTTCATTGTGAAATGGAGATGTGAGAGTAAATGAGAATGTAATGTGAAAATGCCCGGTATCCATCATCCCACTTCCCATCTCGCCTCCTATTACACTTTAAATATAAAACATTATTTTATGGTAACTTTCAAACAAACAAAAATAGAGAATAATATCATGAACCTCCCAGCTCCAACAGTTCATTTATGGCCACTCATTTTACCTGTACCCACTGGGTTATCTTAAAATGAATTTCAAGTTAGCATTTCATCCTAAACGTTTACTGTGTACCTTTGAAACAAAAGGACTCTTCTTTTTTTCGTTTTTAAATTTTATTTTGACAAGGACTCTTCTTTTTAAAAAAGAAAACTGCAATATCACCTTCACATCTTAGTGTTTACTATTGATTCCTGAATATTACCAAATATCTGGTTCAGTGTTTCCATTTTCCCAGTCATCTCAAATGTTTTTCACCTGATTTGATTCAGGACAGAGACAAAGTTCATGCCCTGCCTCGATGTCTCTATAAGGTCTCTTTTAGTCTCCTGCCACTTGAAGCAACTTCTGGCTCCCGTTTCCACCAGTAAATTTCATTCTACAGTCTAGAAAGTACAGTGAAGCAAAGCCCAAGAGAAAGTTAAGTGGGAGGGAACTTATCTCTCAGCAATCTCCCACCCCAACTTCCTTTAATAAAGATATATGAATACTTAAAGGAAAGAATCCTTGACTTCAGACGGATTCGAGGCACGTACCAATTACTAAATTAACTACATGACTTTAGGTGGGTAAGACTCTCTCAGCCTTAGCTATGGAAAATGTAGGCTCATGATTGTGATCCCTTTACTCTAGCTATCTGAACCAACTGGACCGGATTACAAACCCTGACTATCTCCCCAATGAGCAAGATGTGCTTCGTTCCAGAGTCAAAACCACAGGCATCATTGAGACCAAGTTCTCTGTCAAAGACCTGAATTTCAGGTGCGTAGACAGCTCTTTGGGGGCACCTCAGATAGCAAATGTGGGCTATCCTAAATAGGGCCTGGGCATGTTTCTAGGCCTGTACTGAATGCCAGCCTGAACTGAGGTCATGCGACTCTCCCACTTTCCTAATTCTCAATTTGCTGCTCAGAAGCCCCCCAAGTGGCCAAGGCAAAGACAGGTGGCTCCCACGTGGGATATACCTATGAGAATATCCTGCTTCCTTCCTCAGGATGTTTGATGTGGGCGGGCAGAGATCAGAGAGGAAGAAGTGGATCCACTGCTTCGAGGGTGTCACCTGTATCATTTTCTGTGCAGCCCTCAGTGCCTACGATATGGTGCTGGTAGAAGATGATGAAGTGGTGAGTAGCTTAGGCACCAAGCAGCTTGTGACAAAACAGGTTCTCCCTGTGACCCATTCTCTAAGACCTACCACTCCAATGCCCTCAGCATGGGTGATTTTGGCAAATACTGACGGTCCAGCAGTCCTTTGGCTGACTAATCGATGTCTCATGCAGATAATCCTAGAAAAACCTCTCTGGCTGGCTCAAGGTTAGTCCTTTAGAGTTCCAGACTTAATGACAGTCGGCTTGGTCTCAGATTAAACATCCAAATACTACTCGGACATCACAAAATTTTCTTTTTAAAGATTTATTTATTTATTGGAAAGTCAGATATACAGAGAGGAGGAGAGACAGGAAGATCTTTTGTCTGATGATTCACTCCCCAAGTGAGTGCAACGCTGATGCTATACAGATCCAAAGCCAGGAGCCAGGAACTTCTTCCGGGTCTCCCACACGGGTGCAGGGTCCCAAAGCTTTGGGTTGTCCTGGACTGCTTTCCCAGGCCACAAGCAGGGAGCTGGATGGGAAGTGGAGCTGCCGGGATTAGAACCGGTGCCCATATGGGATCCCGGGCATTCAAGGCGAGGACTTTAGCCACTAGGCCAAGCCGCCGGGCCCAAAAACTTTTTTTTTTTAACCACAAAACTTGTAAGAGGAATTGAGTGTTAGAAGTAAAGTATCCCCAGATAGGCACGGGATTAACTCTAGGTACTCCCTCAGGCTGCCTACGGAAGTCTGTACAGTGTGTATCTTCATGAGACCTAATAGAGGGGTCAAGCTACTAACCTCAGCTAGAAAACTAAACCATGTGCTATCAACAGACATATGGAGAAATTGGAAGGCTGGGATTATCACATGCCAATGGGAGGACTGACAGAGCAGGCCTTTAATCTGAGGAGCTTGACAAGACAGGAGCCCAGCCAGTTAAATTCTCTAAGTGAGAGATGAAGGATGCCAAAGGCATGGGAAACACTCGCTTCCCATAAACATCTGCTTCCCATATAGAGGCCCATGGCTTCCTAACGGGAGCTTTAGTTTTGGTTCTCTTCGTTTTCCCCTTAGTAGTTCAAGTTCACATTGGCACATTCTCAACAGCAAAATGTCTTATAGGGTTATGCACTTTCCAAAATTGCTTCCCCTCTAACACTCAATTCTCTAAGACCTTAAAGGGTCTAGTAGGAACATTGACAGTGAAGTTTTCTTTTTTTTTTTCATAAACATAATTGACAAAAACATGAGAAGAGGCTGTAAGTTAAGAATGTCCTTGTTTTATCAGAGAAGACTGAGTTTGTGTTGGCCGACAGTGCTGTGCATTCACTCAGGGATACAGAGGCTAAATGCAGGCCCAGCGGAAGCATTGGGCAACAGCTAGACCTTACAGATATGGGAGGGGCCTTCAAAGGCTCTTGGAAATACCTATAAACATGTATCTTTTAAACTACAACTACATTTTTTTTAAAAGATTTGTTTATTTATTGGAAAGTCAGATATACAGAGAGACAGAGAGGAAGATCTTCCGTTCGATGATTCATTCCCCAAGTGAGCGCAATGACCGATGCTATGCCGATCCGAAGCCAGGAGCCAGGAACTTCTTCCAGGTCTCCAACGCGGGTCTCCCACAAGGGTACAGGGTACCAAAGCTTTGGGCCGTCCTCGACTGCTTTCCCAGGCCACAAGCAGGGAGTTGGATGGGAAGTGGAGCTGCCAGGATTAGAACTGGCGCCCATATGCTATCCCGGCGCATTCAAGGCGAGGACTTTAGCCTTTAGGCCACACTGCCAGGCCCGGCAAATACATTTTTTTTTTTAAAGATTTATTTTTATTATTTTTACATTGGAAAGGCGGATATACAGAGAGGAGAGACAGAGAGGAAGATCTTCCGTCCGATGGTTCACTCCCCAAGTGAGCGCAACGGGCCGATGCTATGCCGATCCGAAGCCAGGAGCCTCTTCCGGGTCTCCCACGCGGGTGCAGGTTCCCAAAGCTTTGGGCCGTCCTCGACTGCTTTCCCGGGCCACAGGCAGGGAGCTGGAAGGAAAGCGGGGCTGCCGGGATTAGAACCGGCGCCCATATGGGATCCCGGGCGTGCAAGGCGAGGACCTTTAACCACTTGCGCCACCGCGCCGGGCCCCGGCAAATACATTAAAAAAAAAAAAAAAACCTTGAATTCCCTTTTCCTACAAACTTTTTGAAGCACCTCTACTCATAAAGTAGCAATCAGAGAACAGAGCTGACATTGCTTGTGGCAGGGGACTTGGAAATTCTCTAGTCTTCGGCATGTGGCACAGGGCCAACATTTCCATCAGGTTCCTTCCCAAGCCGAGGCCTGGAATACTAGGACAGAAGCCTAGCAAAATCATCCTGGAGATGCAAATGGGCATAAGCCAGGTTGGATCTGGTTTCAGCCCTGTGTCAGCAGCACTTCATGATAGCAAAGCCCTGGCTGTCAGAGACCTGCATAACATGTACTGTGCACCTGTATACCAGCCACCACCATGTGTACTATGCATGCATGACCCGACTCAACTCTCTTAACAGCCCTGTAAATTAGGGAAACAGGACTCATCAAAGGTCAATAGTTTTCCCCAAGTCACAGAGCTATAAAAAAGAGTTTGTTCACTTTCCTTTTGCATGTGGACCACTGGTCTGTCTCTGCAATGGAGAACAAAAACAGGAAGCAGGTAGATGTGCCATAAATCCATTCTGATTTTTCTATGATGTTCTTCTCACTAGAATCGTATGCATGAGTCTTTGCACCTGTTCAACAGCATATGTAACCACAAGTTCTTTGCTGCTACTTCCATTGTCCTCTTTCTCAACAAAAAGGACCTGTTTGAGGAAAAAATCAAGAAGGTTCATCTCAGTATTTGTTTTCCAGAGTATGATGGTAAGTGTCAAGGGCCACAGATATCAGTAATATTTGTATTGTTCTAGCTTTTGGTGGTGACTGGCGATTTCCTCCTTTCCTATGCCACAGAAACAAAGGAATTCATCTTAGGGGAGAAACTTGGGCACTTGATTACAGAACTTCAATTCCAAGATTTCTGGAATAGAGCAGACATTAGATGTGAGACACCTTCCAGAAACCACAAGCAAGACACAGACATACTTGACCCAACTTCCTTGCTGGATGAAACTTCCCTCTAAACCCAGGGCTCCCACTACAGTTGTCTAACATTACATTGGAAAGATTCTGTCAGTTATGTAAAAATGAGCACCTGAGAAGGGTTACTTGATCCTACTTCTTTGCTGATTTTTTTTCCTGGAAAACTAGGAAACAACTCCTATGAGGATGCGGGGAATTACATCAAGAGCCAGTTCCTTGATCTCAATATGAGAAAAGATGTCAAAGAAATCTACAGTCACATGACCTGTGCTACAGATACTCAGAACGTCAAATTCGTGTTCGATGCAGTCACAGATATTATCATCAAAGAAAACCTCAAGGACTGTGGCCTCTTCTAATCCACACCATGCCTCAGGTACAGTTCTGCCAATGGGTTTGGAATGTGGGTCAACTCAAGCTGAAAATTGTAGGCCAGTGATCTTGACACAAAGAATGTTGAATGCATTCTCTCTTGGCAGTGGAGGCTGTGTGACTGTAGCTGTGTCTCGCGGGTCTTTCTCTACATTAGCTAGCTAGTTCAGTCCAAAGAGGGCACACAAAGGCCAGGTGGTCCTTAGACCCAGGTTTCAGTGCTGGCTCTGAAGCTTAACGTGAGAATGTGAGTGCTTCATTTCTGAGCCTCTGGGTCCTCATCTGTAAAACGAAGCCCCACCTACCTACCTCAGAGTTAGGGTAAGAAACACTGACCTAACTGAAGACCAGGTGTATAAAAACTGCTATGATTAGGATCACAGAAATGAATCCCACATAAAAACAAGAAAATGATAAAAATTTTTACATCTGGTTTTTACAATGATTTCAAGCAAACCAGCAAAACCTTCTATAGTCTGCCAAAGTGGGGGAAAAAAAGTCTAGTTAGAACAAAACCTCAGTGAATTTACCATCCCCTTTCCACTCTCAGACCTCTACGTGCCTTAGTCCAGAGATCTGGATCACTACATAGGAAACGTGAGTTTGCTGTTTCTGAGGCACCCATTCAAGAATGATCATCTTTATTAAGCACAAATTATCTCTGTGCCCCCAGGCTCCCTTTATCTCCAAAAATAATTGCTCAGCAATCCAAGACAATTTTTAACTAAGCTTGGAGGACATGAATATACTCCTCTGAAAGACATGGGTGATTTATTGCTGCCACTTTCATAGAATTGAAAGTAAGTGAGCAATTCTAGAATTTTCATTCCAGCTACTGCATGATCAGAACAGAAAAAGGCAGCTGAGCTTACTTTAGGCATTGAACATCTTTGCAGTTGGTCCACATGACGTGGGTGGGAAGCACTATCTGCCTAAACAGACCAGCAGGGGAGTGATTCCTTTTTGAACTCCTCCGAGAGGAAGTGGAGCTTGCATTTTTCTTGACAGAAGGTAGTGAAGTCAAGTATAGATTTGGCATTTACAACTACCAGTGAGGGAAGTGCTTGGCATCCAAGATCTATACATAATACACAGTGTCCATTAAAACAAAAATCTGCTCCTTGCCAGGAACACCCATTCACTCCCAGGCTACACCAAGCAACGTGAATTGTGAAGAACCATACACGTCCAGAATTCAAACAAGGATCATTTGCAGCTGTTCAGCCGGACTCATTTAGTACTCTTCCTGATTCCCTAAAAAGAAAACAGCTGAGGAGGAAAATGACCAGAGATGCTATTCTGGCTATTGTCAATTTAAAAACTTAAGCCCCACCCCACTACCACCCTTAAAAAGCACTATAACCAAAAAAAACTTGGGTAACCAAGAGTTATCTGGCCACTCCTCTACACGTTCCAAGTTATCACATGTACCAAACACCAACAGTTCTGACTCTGTATCACATCAATCTCTGGCAATATGATGATGAAACCTAGGGGCCCCTTTTTCAAGTACAGTTTTTAAATGTTTATTTACTTCCATGTGTAATATGAAAGAACACACACTGAGAGGGAGACAACATATCTTCCATACATTGGAACAGCAACTGCTCACAAAAGTATTTTTAAATGCACAGTAAAATGCAGAGAATTAACAAAGAAAACCAGAGAACTATACCCAGCTCCATCTGTGGGCTCTCTGGGGCTCTGACGCCCAGGTAAGTATGTCCTTACCACCATAATCTTAACTACTGGGGCTCCTGACATAACTTATAGCACTTACTCCATTTCCATACAGGATGGCCCCATGCTCCCTCAAAGTGAAGGACTGCTTCTTTTATGAACTTTTCCTTGGTCTCTGAATGCAGACAAAAGCTGACTTTGGGCCAAACTATGAAAGTCTAACCCAGAATCCTTGGTGAGGGATGTTCAGACAGCCTGCCCTTTGCTGCAGGCAGAGGCCAGTGGGACAGGTCTTTCAGCAGCACAACTAAAAATCCCTAGCAAAACAAAACAGTTGTATTTTAGCTTTCTGGCAGATGTCCCAATTCCTACCTGTTGTATAAACAAACCCATACAAGCCACCTTGTATGAACACTTGGGGAAACAGTGCTTCAAGCAACATCCATGTTACACAGCTGTTTTTCACTGAGATCAGATTTACACCAAGAAGGGTTTCCAGCTAAACTCTCCTGGTGTGCAATACTCCTTTTGAGCTCTAGCTGTTCTTCCTCCTGTATTTAGAACAAAGTTAACACACTTTTCTGAAATTCAGTGCTCAACTGGGCTTGTCTCTGCATAAAGGTCAGGGTGCCTCACCCTGGTGTTGGATAGTTTCCCCAAGAGGCATTAACCCTTACCCAGTTCAACCGCTTGTCAGGCTCATGAAACTTCCCAAAGCTTACTCTACTACAGCTAGTGCATTTGTACCAATGACTTATATTTTGTAGACATTTTGATGATATACATGAAAAATTCCTTGAACAAAATGGCTATAAAAAGGCTTAAAGCAAAATCAAATCATACATCCTGTTGCCTTTATCTCTCACTTTTTGCCTCACTTTAAATGTACTACATGGTACTGCTGGGTTTCATGCATTGTCACACCTTTACAAGCCATCAAAAATGCTATTTTGTTAGCAAGGTCAGAAACACATTTTAAAATTTTTAAACATTTTTTTTAAAGATTTATTTATTTTTATTACAAAGTCAGATATACAGAGAAGAGGAGAGACAGAAAGGAAAATCTTTTGTCTGATGATTCACTCCCCAAGTGAGCGCAATGGCCGGTACTGTGCCGATCCAAAAACCAGGATCCAGGAACTTCTTCCAGGTCTCCCACATGGGTGCAGGGTCCCAAGGCTTTGGGCCGTCCTCAACTGCTGTCCCAGGCCATAAGCAGGGAGCTGGATGGGAAGTGGAGTTGCCGAGATTAGAACCGGCACCCATATGGGATCCCGGTGCGTTCAAGGCAAGGACTTCAGCTGCTAGGCCACACTACCGTGCCCGAAACACATTTTTTAAAGACCTATTTATTACAAAGGCAGATTTACAGAGAAGGAGACTTAGAGAGCAAGGGTGCACATCTATCCACTAGTTCACTCCCCAAATGGCCACAATGGCCAGAGCTGGGCCAATGCAAAGCCAGGAGCCAGGGGCTTTTTCTTTTGTTTTTAAAGTTCACTTATTTATTTATTTTATTGGAAAGGAAGATATACAGAGAAGAAGAGACAGAAAGATCTTCAATCCGCTGGTTCACTCCCCAAGTGGTGCAAAGGCCAGAGCTGAGCTGAACCGATCTGAAGTCAGGAGCCAGGAGGCTCTTGCAGGCCTCCCATGTGGCAGAAGGTTCCCAAAGCTTTGGGCCATCCTCTACTGCTTTCCTAGCCACAAGTAAGGAGCTGTATAGGAAGTGGGACAGCTGGGACACAAACTGGCACTCATATAGGATTCCAGTGCTTGAGAGTGGAGGATTGACCTGTGCTGAGCCATGGTGCCAATTCTGGAAACACATATTCAACCCTATTTTCTTGCACTGCAATCATACTTCTTGGAATATTGAATTCAGAAGGAACCTAGAATTATTCCAGGTGCATCAACAGCAATTTCTACATGGAAAACAGACCCAGAGAAGTAGAGTGTCTCCATCAAAATCATACAGCTAGAAGGAAGAACTATTACATCTTTAAAACAGGCCTTTCTAGGTTGGCGTTGTGGGATAGCAGGTAAAGCAGGTGCTACATGTAGATACCGGTTTGTCTCAGTTGCTCTACCTCTGACCCAGCTCCCTGCTGAAGTGCCTAGCAAGTAGTGGAAGACAGTTTAAACCCCTGGGCCCCTGTACCATGTGAAAGATCCAAGCCTTACACCAGCCCACTCCAGCCCTTAAGGCCCTTTCTGGAGGTGAACCTGCACGGTGGAAGATCTGTCTCTCCCACTGTCTTTCTGTAACTGATGTTCAAACAAATCTTATATATGTATATTTTAAAAAGCCTTACAAATTCAGAACCAGCAGTCTTTCTATGGTACAAACAGCATGCTACCAACAGCATACCATATATGATAGTCCTTTTCTCATTTTAAACTCGTCCCATTCCCAACCAAATTCTTGGTCATTTTTTAGTTATGCCACCTGCAACTTGCAGCTATTCAGCTAAATTATCTGCAAGCTAAATAAAAAGTTCTCAAAACTGAATGTGAAAGTAGCATAGAAATAACCAAAATATATAAACAGCTATAAGTTTGCTTGTTTGTTGAAACTATCATTTCCTTTCATACCCTGAGAGCACAGAAATCGCAATGTACTCCCCACTAGCAGAGTGTGAATAAAGAAACTAATGACAATGAACCAAATGTCAATCATTACAGTTTACACATTGAACTTGAGTTTCTTTTTAAACAAAATACAGCATGATTGACACAAAAATACTATATGATTCCACCTACATGATGTTCCCAGAACAGTCAAATTCCTAGAGACATAAAGTAGAATGATGGTTACCAGGTTCTGGGCGATTATTTATTTTATTTTTTATTATTTATTTATTTATTATTGCAGACAGAAAAGTTTACTTGCGAAGGGACCAGGTGAGCAGGGAAGGGACAGGGAAGGGGAAAGCACCCCCAGAAAGGAAGCCGGGAGGTGGGGTGCCTCTCGAAAGGGGAGGGAGAGAGACACCAAAGGTTTGAGGAAGGGTCTTGAGACTTTAAGCATTCCCTGACCCTACCTTGTTGGGCGGGAAACCTAAGGTAAGATGTTCCCCGTTGGTGGTCTCTTAGTTAGAAAATGGGTGGGCAGTGCTGGTGCCACCCACTTGAAGGTGTGGCCAAGACCTCAGTAGGCCTGGATGGTCTCAGATCCCCCTCTTGAAACCCCACATCCTACTTCTGTAGGGGTAAAGGGCAACAATGTCTTCTGGCTGCTTCCTGCTGAAATTGGACATCATTTGGGCAAGGGGCCCCTAGAAGTGTGGGATCCAGACAGATGTTCTGGGTCATCCAAGTTGCCATGGCAGAAGTTGGTCTGGTTGTCATACAAGTTTGCACATCTGGAGTCTGAAGACCCCTAATCAGGAAACAAATATAAGAAAATTGAGAAGCCAGTTGCGTGCTCTATGTGGAGCAGGAGCCAGCACAGATCCAAAGAGGGGCCAAAGGCTAATTCTCTCCATTCAAAAGCTCAAAGCAGGCAGGCAGGCTGTGATGTAGTAAGTTCTGATGCCCAAAGGAATCCCAGTATCTAAGGTGGCAGAGACAGAAA